GCTCGCAAAAGCCCGTTTGACAGAAATGTTTAAAAAGTGTTGGGTTTCCTACGAATCCGCAAGAGCGCGCGGGATGAGATTTTGACATTTTTTTGTTGAAAAACCATTGGTTTTTTGATGTTTTTATGTTAAAATCGCTCCGAACACTAAGCTTTTGGAAGGATTTCGTCTTGCGCGCGCGAATGTCCACTTTACCTTATTTTTTGCAAGGGATTCTTGAAATTTGATTATATTAGAACAAGAAATGTCATTTTATAGTGTTTTTTGCAAGGGAAAACGGATTACAACAAAACAACCGGATCTGGACCCCATCCACTTTTCTGAAGCTTTCGCGAAAAAATGATGAAAATGTAGCTGCGGCCTAGGCGCGGCGGGGGGGCCGTGCACCAGGGGTCCCAACAATAATTATTCTTTAGAATTAATAATGTTCAACAACACCAACAACAACAACAACAACAACAACAACAACAACACCAACACCAACAACAACAACAACAACAACAACAACAACAACAACCGCAACAACTCCAATAACAACAACACCACCACCACCACCACCTTCAACACCAACACCAACACCAACACCAACAACAACGCCAACACCACCACCAAACAAAATCAGCAACAACGATCCGCACCGCAGAACCTCACTTCAGTCACGCGCCCAGGGACAGTGAATCACGCACCGCAGCACCCCACTTCAGTCATGCGCTCCCATTTTACCCTTACCCCCCCCCCCGTCCCGAATCGCCTGTGCTCCGATGGGTTGCAACCGATGGGGCTTGGGGAATTCACGTCTACACCGACGGCTCTGGGCTAGCCAACGCTCGCCCAGAGCTGAGGCGGCGTGGTTGGGCCGTGGTCGAGCTGGGCCCAAATGAGACCCCCGCCAGGGCCCTGTGCGGGCCCTTGTCTGGGCACCAAACGGTTCCACGCGCCGAGCGCTTCGCGGGCATGTGGGCGATCAAGGTTGCGCCCAACGGCGCCCAGGTTTGTAGTGACCACCTTTCGTTTGTTCAGGAAGGGTGCTCTCTGGATCCAAGTCTGGCGGGCTCCAAGTCACCTGCATGCTGATATATGGCGTGACATAGATGCGCTCTGCGAACCCAGGCCCAGGTTCTACCGGAAGCCTGCCCACCCTGACCTTGAAGATGTGCTACGCAGTTCCGAGCACGATCAACCAAACAACCCCTGGGCTGACATCGTTGCCGAGCTCAGATCGTCCATGCAGCAGGTTGCGGATGTGCTGGTCCAGGCTGAGAAGGGTCATCTGGCTCTCCTTAGGCAGAAATGGGACTGTCTCTCGCGTGTTGTTGATGTTCTAAATATAGCTGCTGACGCTTGCCAACCGCCACCCCGGCCGACTCGTGTCGAGCACGTTAGGCAAACTGTGGTCTTCGAGGGGCGCCGACTGGTTTCCTCCTTGCAAGCCCTGAAGAGCTGAAGCGGGCGAAAGCCGTCGGTGCAACCCTGGTGCGGTCAGGGAGCGGCGCGCTGATCATTATTTCGCCCAGGCCGAACCCAGCCCACCCGACCCCGCGATCCAGGTCGCCCTTGCGGCTGCTATTGGTGACCCTTGGCCGCCCCCTGACCCCGCCTCTACCTCCAGTGCTCTTGAGCCTCGGGCGGGGGTGAGCTGTGTCTCAGGCCTCGGTCATTTCCCTAGATTCTGATCTGTGAGCGGTTTGCGCGGTCCTCTTGCCCCCGAAAGGCAACTGTCGAGGCCTTGTGGCGGAATGTAAAGGGGACGCCCACATTGCGCTCCATTTGAGATGGGCACCTCAGGAGGGTATGAGCAGCTTCACGAGGCCACCACCCAGAGACAGGTGCCCAAGTACAGTCTCTTTCGTAACGAGCTTGTTGGCTTCAGCCTGTTGAGCCCCATCTAATGGAGGGGTAGGATTCCTGTGCAGTCGTTGCTCGGCTGCGCTGCTGCATGCTCGCCCACAGCCTCCCTTCCCCTCCTCGCACATCTTACCAGCTTGGAACATATCCCTATCCCTAAGCTGGACATCGCCTCATCACAGTGCCAATCTTAGGGATTCCCTTAGTTTCTCAGGGCGCATCCCTAAGATTGCCATCGCCTTTTGGCGTGTCAATCTTAGGGACAGGGATAGGTTCGAGGCTGGTGAGCATCCCTCCTCTTTTCGTTCTTCTCCTCCTTTGTCTGCCTTCCCTCCGTGCCCTCCTTTGCCCCCTTCTCCCGCGAGCTGGTGGCGCGTGAGCCGCGTCTGACGCTGCCCCGCCGCCCTCCCCTCCACCCCCCAAGGACGACTGCCCCTGAGAGGGGTGGAACAACAGAGCAGTGCACGCGCTGATCGAGACGCAACAGCCGGCCGACGCAAGGGGGCGAGGAAAGAGGGGAGCGACCGCACGGCGACGACGGAGCCACTCTCGGCAAAGGACAAGCGGGGTGCAAGACGGCGAGGCGCGTGGAACGGCTGGTGCGGAGGTGGTTGCAACAGGGGCAAGGCCGCGCTCGCCCAGATGGGGGGGCGCAAAGGCCACTCCCCCTGCCCATGGGGAAACCTCCCCAGTCGTCCCCCGGCCCAAGGACGGGGACCCCCGCCCACCAAAGCAGACACAGGGGACCCGAAGTGGGACGGGTGGCCGCCTAAGGGGTTTCCCAGAGGGCGCGGGGGCGGGTTGCGCTTTCCCGGCGGTGGACTTGCGGAGATCAGCTCCGCCCCCCACCCCGCCCCACCCCGCACAACCTACCCGCCCTATCCACTACGAGTGAGTTGGAGCTGCGCTTGCCGTGGGCCTGCGCAGCTGCATGGCACCACGGCGTCGGCACAAGTGGCGCCGCAGTGCACTTGCTGTCGAGCCAGCTTGCTGGAGAAAGCCTGCTGGCATTGTTGCTGAGAGGCGGCCGCCCAGGCGGACGCTCGGGCCGCCCCCGGGAGAGAAACCTTTTCACACAAGTAGTGCGTTGCGTGCGCAATGTTTACAACCAGGGCTGAGCCTAAACGGTGTTTTTCGTTTTCGCTTTGTTTTCGGTGTCCTTCGTGTTGTATTCAATCCGCCTTTACCGCAAAACGAAGTCGAAACGAAAACTTGCAAAAACACCGTTTAGGTCCAGCCATTGTCACAACTATGTATGCACAAGTGGCGGTTGGGCTGTAGTTCCCCCAGCCTCCACGCCCTCCCCAAACCCTGCGAGTGATCTGGAATGCGCTTGCTGCAGGGGCCTATGCGGCCGCGTGGCACCGCGGCAAATTGGCACAGGATGACGCGGCAGTGCACTTGTTGCAGGCTAGTTTGCTCCAAAAGGCCTGCTGGTGCCGCTGCTGAGGGCGGCCGCTCTGGCGCCAGGGCCGTCCCCGGAAGACAAGACAATGCTGCGTGCGCCATGGTTGCAGCAACTACGTTTGCAGATGCGACGCATGCAACCAGCAGTGGCCTATGGAAAAACAAACGCAAAGGGTGAAAAGCGAAGAGAGAGGCTAAACGGAAAGCGCGGCGTCGAGGCTGAAGGCGAGCGAACTGACGGTCGCGGCTGGCACTAGAGACGGCGACTGCGTGCCGCGTCCGCCGTGACCAACGCCGGGACGGCCGTCGATGAGTCTGCCCATCCCACACCGATAGCCCCCCTACCCAGTTCCCCCGACACAAGAATAGGGACATGAAGGTTAGTTGTGCGATCAGTGAGGGGGAGGGGCAAATACAGGAAGGTGCAGCCGAGAAGGGGCGAACGTTGGTTGGGGCCCCCCTTCATGGCTTGGTGGATAGTTAGCTCTTCGCGCCGTCGCCTCCTAAGTCCCAGCGCTTCGCCTGTTATTAGCCAAGGATGTGCAGCATAGGGTTCTACCCGGCGGCCTCTTGAAAATTAGTGGTCCCGCCCAGTTGACCGCATTCTGGTTGCCTCCATCGCAGCGGGCAACAACCTCACTGCACGTCGGATAAGGTAACATGCGTGGGTGGGAAAGCCGTGGCGGGCTCTGAAACTCTGTATTAGCACGGAGTCACAGCGTTGGCTCTGTCGTGTGGTTGCATGTGGCCTGTGGGTGAAGAAGCCGCGGCTGGTTGGTTTAGAACCCTCTATGACCGCCCGCAACGTAGTTTAGAGACATGCGGGTCGTTACAGGAATCGCCCTGTGGTGATGATACCTGACGCACGTCGGATGAGCTCTCAGGTAGGTGAGAAAGCCACGGCGGGTGTTGGACCCCTTTAGCGAATTGTCCTCCCGAGGGTGTAGCCAACGTCTTGTGATAATTGTGAGTAGGGAGTGCGGTGCCTCGCCGTGGAAGAGAGAGATTGTGATGCTGGAGGGGTGGACTCGCGTGCCCTATGTAGGAGCGAGGTAGTCCAGCTGCTGCAATCGTAGACAGTGGGGGGCCACATGTTAGCGGAAGAGTAGCGCAGAGAGGTCAAGCATAACGGTGGGCACAACTGGTGTGTCGGCGGTGGGCGCTGGTGGACGCTGGAAAACAACATCGGTGCAGATCGTGACGCACTGACAGGGTCTCCGTGCGGCAGGTCCTGTCTGGGCATGATGGCGGTGATCGCCTCCCAACCCATGGTTTTGGGAGGTCGCTGATGCAAATGCGCCTCGCATGAGGTTGGCCCATGCCACGGGACATCGCGTCTGCCCTGTGCGGGCGTCGGTGTTGGCAATGATCACGCTGTCGGCAAGATCACGTCTGGATTGTCCACTTGGGTAGCACTTCCCCCTGGCTCGTGCCGGTAGCGGTCGCACGATTTGCCGGTAAAGGTGGTTGCTTGCGTTGGTGTATTACAGATCTTGTGGTCATAGCCGGGGTAGTGCTCTTCCTGGTTGCCGTCGTTGCCAGCGCTGACGTCCGATTGCAGGATCGGGTAGCGCGTGTCGACTCTTTCTCCTATTTTTCTTCCTTTTCCTCCTTCTCCTCGTCCTCGTCCTCGTCCTGGTCCTCCTCGTCCTCCTCGCCCTCCTCCTCCTCATCATCATCCTTCTCCTCATCCTGTTCCCGTGGGCGCCCCTCTCGCACGGCCGCGCCGCCGCCGCTGCGCGGCGTGC